GGAACGCGAACCATTCCCCTCGCGGTTTTCGCTAATTTTACAACTAATTAAGTCTCCCTAGAACTCGATAGGATTACGGGCAGCAGCGCGTGCAACAAGGGGTGGGGCGCGAGGGTGGGGAACCCTTTGAAACGCGAATTTCGGAGCGAGCCAGACGGAGAAACCGCAGCCGGTGACGTTTTGTCGGGCAGCTAGGCAAATTGAAAACGCGGCCGAAGTTTCGACGCGATCGTTCACGTGGCGCCAGCCCTTGGTTCTCCCTTAGACCGCTCGCAGACTTGTTACCGAACGGTAGGACCCCTGCTCCGAAGAAATTAGTGAACTACTAGGTAATCTGGCACATAATTAGTACATGATGTCGTCGATCTTCTCTATAACTCATAATCTTATTTTGTCATCGAGAGGTTAACCCGTTATGCTCTGAATCATATCAAAGCAGCCTCTACATTCCATTATACTCTAACAGTGAAGTATTTTACTAATTTCTACAACTGTTCCATCGCGACATTATCCCATCAATTGATTCGACACAGCGAACTTGTAAAATTTAATATTAAATTTCGTACAACGCGTCGATATGTGAGGCATTGAAGGAAAATAGTTCCCTTTCTCAATGCGCAATTTCTCGCTAAGACAATTTCCGAAGATGTAGTACCTCGTTAGAAAATATTGAGTACCTCCAGTGAAAATCTTCCGGTGTGCAAAGGGTTGAACTGTAGTTGAATTAAATAGCGATGGAAGTTTCAAAGTAGAAAACGAAGAACATTGTTCGTGCGCCGCGAGCTTTCATCTAAGTAGACCGCGATAACGAGTCTGTACGCAGCCACACTTTCCCGCGGAGCGAGAACTTCGATAAGCAGAGGCGCCCTTAAGTTCTCGGCTCGTAGACGTTCGGATCTTCGATGCGTCGTCGCGAGGAAGCACGGTAGCGTGGCGCAATTAATGCGTGCGAGCACGTAAAAACGAAATTACACGGGCGGCGCTCATGAATTTTAATGGGCTGCTCTGTGATCCTGAATCGCAATGCTCGTCGGTATACACCGGGCTCCATTTGAATAACGTTTACGTCGTCGATTATACGTGTGTCTACGAGGCTTAATAGGTTTCGCGGCGGCAGCGGCGCACCTCGAACTGGAGCACGCGAAACAATGGCGGATCGCGCGGAGGAATATAGCGCCGGGCGAACACTTATCGGAACGAAAGCCATTAAAACTGATTTTTCCCTCGATATTCATATATTCAAGTAATTCGGTGTTTTATTAAGGAAATCAGGAGCTCGGGAGGGTTTTAAATTGTTTGGAAAACATAATGGAATGCTCTGAAAGGTGTTTCAAAGAATATTAATCGCAGGAGTGATTCTTTGTTCATCGTTGACCGCTCCAATTTCGCGTCAATGCGATTTGTAAATGTTTTGACGATTAAGAAGACGATGAAACGAACTCAGTGTGCGTTGGTACTCTTTGAAGATCATGGGATACGGTCAGAATGCCCGCGGGATTGAATCCTTCGAGGAATAAATGGGCACCAAGAAATTGAAGTCCCGCTGAGCGAAGTAAGATTCAAATTACAAGCGTTCCTGTTTAATCTGCCTCGCTCACGACGCTGAAACTGGCGAATCTTTTTCAAACGAGCATGCAGAATCCGGATTAAGGGAGGTACACAACCGATGCTTTGCGGTTTCGTCGAAGTGGGATCTGTCAGGCTCCTTTTCTTCAATTATTTTCAAGCGTAATTTACGTTGCACGGTTATTTCTATAGTTTCCTACGAATAACCGAATGTAGAAATCATTTTGCAGTACCCCTCATTTGTCTTGAGTCAATCTTTGTAACCTTTCTAATTTTTAATCTTCACAACTTTTAATCTTTCTAGTTTTCAATCTTCACAACTTTCAATCTTTCTAATTTTTAATCTTCACAACTTTTAATCTTTCTAATTTTCAATCTTCACAACTTTTAATCTTTCTAATTTTTAATCTTCACAACTTTTAATCTTTCTAATTTTCAATCTTCACAACTTTTAATCTTTCTAATTTTTAATCTT